AAAAATAGTAATTAAGATACAATGACAAAAATATGTTTACTTTCATGCACACAAGTGTTTCTTGATAAACTTTATCAGTTTGCTCAAGATCAGAGGTTAGAAAAGTCAATCAATATAAATTTTTTGACATCATCAACACTAAACGGGCCTAAAAAGAACATCCAGTACTATCTAAGATCAAATATGATCGAAGACATTGAATGAACTAAAAATATCAAAAATAACATTTGATAGTATAGATATAGACATGGCATACATAACTTTGAATAGTTATTTTGTACAAGTCTAACTTCACTAGTCAAGGACATTCTGTAGGGATAATAAATGTACATAACAAAAATCATCAGGCGATGTTGTAGCATATTTGCGAACGCTTTATTTGGGTCTTTGTAAATTATTTAATGCTGCATGGCACCCTTGACACGACCACCGCCGTACCAATACTTTTCATAGGGTCGGTGTGATTTGTTATGTATTTAAAATGGATATACAAGCAGTTATATGACAACAAAGACTATCGGTGTGAACCTAAAAGATATATAAAACAATAACTGACTCTTTTTTAACTAAACATAAGTATTCATAAATGTCCTGACCAGAAACATTACACTTGTACTATGCCAGACAAAAATAGCGTTGTTCAAGGAAGACGCTTACCCAGTCTAGATGTATAAAACAAATTTATGGTGCGAAATATTCATAAGGAGAACACAGATAGTCTTAATTTATAAAATATCGATAGAGTGCTTATTTTTTTAAGGAAAACAGAAGGAATATTTTAGATAGAATTGAATGAATCGTTCATTATGATTAGATATATATGGGATTAATGATTATGTCATGTAATGATAACAAGCGAAGGGGGGTTAGTGTACATGAGACAGAAGTCCGTTTTAACTCCAAATTTTTTGAGTGGAACACCAAAAAGGAGTTGGACAGGGATAAAGGAAACTGGGAATGAAGGGCGGGAAGTGTCCCCCCTCCTCCTATACCTAAGGGTTCGTAAACCGAATTCATTAATGGCAGACCAAAACGTATCTTACAAACATGTTGAATTCCAACAGAAACAAATAAAAAACATTGGAAGTATTTTTACCTGATAAAAGTACATATTGTAGTATGGTTTGACAAGTTTTGTTTGCACCCATTTTTTATTACTTTATTTTCAAAATAGTACAGAAAAAGCGTTAAATTCAACAAGAGAGCACATGTTGGCCAAAAAGAAGACACTTTGGACATTGAAAGACTTGGAGTTTGATTTTGTTCTAAAAAAATTATATATTTTAAAATCAGCTAGTCATTGTATACTTGAATCCATCGCAGTACTACTGCTTAATATAAAATAAAGAGATGTGGTTTGATTGCTTTTGAGAAAACTATCCAATAGAGTCCAAATGAAGCGGATTTAAGCAAATAAAGCAACCGCGTTTAGTAAGCTTACAAAGGACTCGAAATTCATGACCTACTAACAGTGGTTAAACTAGGGTCTTAACTAAACCTTGCCCCAAACCTCAACCTCTTCCTAGCAAGGCGCACCATCGATTGGCATATGAATACGTCGTACCAATACTTATTTCAGTGCTACGCTTCTGCATATTTTATACATGTACATGAATCTGTCTGGCTAGAAATATAAATTTTGAAACAATTACGCCTGTCTTTTACATAAAATTGTTATTTTATGTTTTGTTAATCTCAGTATTTAAATATCACTATGTATGTTTTGTTAATCTCAGTATTTAAATATTACTGTTTTCATGCAAGTGGACGGGTAATTGATGTTCACTACAAGAGAGGCGAGATAACAAAAGGATGTTCAAACTCATGAGTCGAAAATACACTGGCATGGTTAAAAAAAGAAAAATACCAACAGACAAACAAGAGTACACAAACCACATCTTTGCTGTAATTGGTTTCAGTAGGCAGCTTAATTTTATAATAATTTCGCTTTAAAAATCACAACAAAACACAACATAAAAAAACTAAAGACTGATCAACAAAAACAGGATAATCAGATCCTGCTCCACATGTGACAACCGTCGCATTACTCCAATAAAATACGTTTATAAGTTAAATGAAGTGAAAAGACATCACGCAACAGCGGATTGGTACTTGACTCTTATCTAACCCTAAGACATTTTAAATTTCTAGATCATCGGTCATGTAAAATTTTCTGACACTGAAACTTGACCGAATGTGAAATTTTGATATTGAAACAAATTTTACATGACAAAGGATAGACGAGATTGTTACCGGTATAAGCAACACAAACATTGAAAATTAAAAAGCACAAAGAAGAACACTTATAATATGTTTCTCTAATTCTTACCAGATGTATCCTTTGCCTGACCTGTTGATCATTTTTATTTAACCACTTCACGTTCCCATCGGTCTCGTACCGATGGGCTAAGTTTTCAGGCAACTAGTTCGCGCTAAGTGTTGAATCTTTGACATTTTTATACGTATAGCAGTGGTTGAGGGCTCAAATCAATTCTCTTTATCACAGCTATGTGATTCATTGTGCCTTAAACTTCTATCAAGTACTGTTTGATATCAAATCGCCTCTTACTGACAACATTTTCTCCCGTGAAAACAGTTTTTGTTTTTAATAATTTAAACACAATATTTTCATAGGGTATGGTAGAGTATACTATTGATTTCGGGGGCAATATGACTTTTTTTATCAACTGTGCCGTGTATTTTAGAAGAATACTTTTCAAATTATGATTAAAACTTGTACACAAGGTAAATAAGTGATTCAAAGTGTACCAACGCAATCATCAACTTAAAATGCCATAAAACTGTTCGGTCATTTCTTACCAAATTAATTGAAACAGAGACAAATCCCCCCAAAATATCAGGAAATATTTTGGGGAAGTTGAAAAAGATGTTACAAAACATTGTTTCTTAAGTGCTTGCTAATGGTAATGTTAAAAACACCTTTATTCAAATGAAGGAACAGGCATATGTCAAGAAAAAAATGGCAAACTAAGGTATGATATCCCCTTATTTTTGCTTAAAATGATGGAATTAGCAACAATTTGTGTCAGGGATTAGATTTGGACGAAAAAAACTGCTGAAATCCGCTATTTTTTATAGTTACGGGCATCAACTTTTCGAGGCATATAGCACGTATTTCCTATTTCTATACAATTATGGCAACTTTTCTGGTTTGGGTCATCGCTTTAACACCAAAACTATATCCTATTAGCGCATACAAATGTCTCCACACGACTTTTCCCGCCAGAATTTTGAATTTTTTTCACATTTTTCCCGCAAGTCACGTGACTTAAAAAGATAAATTTTCTTCATGTAAAAATGTCTGAAGTATTCAATCAATTATCTTTCAGATGGATCCAAAATGACCTTTGTATGAGCTTTGGTGCGAATGCTATATTCGATTGAATTTGAATAGTGTCTTTTCCATAAGTTTAGGTCTTAGGTGAAAGGGTTAATCAACGTGTGTTTCGTTTGATCTCAGTTCTCCATTGGTCAAAATTCGATTATGAGGTCAAATTTTCTTGCTTTCCTCTAAAATTCCTATTGAGACGTCATGAGAAAAGGCGACCATGCCTGATGACGTCACATAGGAAAAACAAATCTTTTTGCAGATCGTTCGAAAAAATAGATTAAGTTTGTCTACATATCGTCTAAAAATCATTAGAAAAACAGATTCTCGTGCAATACAATATTTATCCACTATCGACGGTTAAATTTTAAATATATAAAACTTCAGGCAAGCCTCGCGTTTAAATTTGAAAATTTAACTGGCTCGAGTGGATAAGTATCGTATCACACCCGATACAGCGGTAGAATCTATATATAACTAACGGAAGATCAACCTGATTATCTTTAAAAGAAACTAGGGGTGATCTCAGGTACTCCGGAAGGTTAAGCAGATCTTGCTCCACATGAGGCATTACAATTGTTAATTTCTGATAGTTATATTATTTACTGCCAATCCATCAGTATCATGTTATTATTGTTTTTAATTCTTCCAAATGTTATTAAGTCAGGTGTGACGAATGTATTTAACAGCTAACAAGTACAGACTCCAATGTAACCCTCAAATTGTATATCCCCTTGCTTGTCTGTGAGAGATTAGGGTTAGATGTCATGGAAAATATCCGGAAGTACAAACATTTAAATAAGATATATCTACTAATTTAGACACATTAAAGATCTAAATCGCTTACATATTTAAAAAAGTGAAAACTGTAGCAAGTACATGCATATGTTTGATATATCTTATTTACAATTAATATACCTGTGATCAAAACAAATTTCAAGCGTTGTTTGCTTAGAATTACAAACCAATACTTTATCTGTTGACTTCTTGATATTAGAACTTGTGCATTGCATTGTGTTGTGTTGTGATTCGATATTGTTTTAATGTATGTAGACAAGAATAAGTACAACACTTTTTTAATAATATTAAGCAATAATTTAATGCGATTTACATACAATGTAAATTTGAAGTCCTATTGGATATGCAATCTTTCTGGAATCTGAAAAAAAAAGAAAGGGATATCAAAAACAAGTTGTCTCTTACAAAGAAAAAAGAAAAATGGTATACCAACTCGCGTCTAGTTCAAACATAAGAGTAATTAAGCATAATTATTATGTTCTGTAAATTGTTCTTGTAAAACAATATTTCTTGTAAAAAAATATAGCTAGACAATCATTTCTTAGACTGCCCTCTTTTAAAATATAAGAACATTTCATGGGCGCAATGAATAACCTCATTGTCAAACAATATTTCTATAATTGCTGCTAACTCACAATATTGTAATAGGTCTTGATCTTGAAGAGGGGATTGCTGTTACATTTGTGAATTTTAAAGTATAATATTAGTACATGTATTTAGAATAGAAAACAAGATCATCATGTTCTGTAGTTGCCTTCCAGTCGTGATGTTTCGAATGTTTATAACGATTATTATTAAAGGTATCGTATGCTCATGAGTTTTATAACAAAACAAAGTACACTTACTCATCTCATTATGGACAGTTATTCTGACAGGCTTTCAGAGTTTCAAAGTTGTTGGCATTTCCTGCACAACCACCATATACAAATTTTTTACATTGTCTATTTTTCTGACTGTAATAGTATCTTTCCATACGTGCTGTACATGGTCCGCGGTCTGCAGAAAGCTGACACATAGTAGTGCCTGTTACAAAGAAATGCAATTATTTGAAGTGCTCAGTACGAAATGGCAATAACAAAATAGAAATCATCTGGAAGATTCTTCCTAAAAAAACAGTTAGTCTGTCCAAAGTCAAGGACATCGTCACAAGACTTTATCATATTGAGTCTTGCTTTTCTATTTTTCTAGACTGGCGACGCTGTTCTACTGTTTCAATTGTGTATAGTTAAATGAATACTTGATTTCAAAATAGTATCACAATCCGTTGCTTCGGTATTGACATTATAAAAAAATATATTTTCCAAAATCAGGATGAAATTCGTAAATGGACTTTTATATTTTCTTTGGTGAAAAAGATTGGTCTATTAATTGAAAGAAATACTTAGAAAACTGATGACGAAGTTCCGTGTGAAAAAGAGAACCGTGTGAAGAAATAACTGTAAAAACCTTAATGCTGATAGTGCTATTGATATATTGTTTCAATCAATACCCAGTGACATACATTTTATCCATGTCCAGGATGTGGTCAAATTACCAATACATCAAATACGCGAAACGGGCTGGTCGGGAATGATACATTGACGGCCACGGAGAAAAGAGAAAATGTTTGATAGTGGCATAAAGTTTGTCTTATAACAAACCCCGTTTGAGAATTCAGAGTCTTTACATCATTAACAGCCAACGGAATCCCCTCATCAATAGTTAACTGCCGTTGCAGGTTACCAGATATCTGATTTATCCCATAACCCTTAGGGTTTCTTGATAACGAGTACTACAATGATGCTTGTAATTACAACATACATGCCTAATGAAATGAAATTAGAGATGTAAAATTTCTATAATGTTTTTTTATAGGTCATCAAGGTCAACTATTAACTAAATGTTGTCCAAAGCCATAAGATATATACTGTGGATTCATTTATTTTCGAGAGTATCAATTTTCGTGGATTGAGGAAAACTTGCATTTCCTTGGATATTTGATTTCGTGGTTTTGTCAATGTCTGCGTACAAGACAGTAGAAGATTTGTAATTCGTTGAACATTTAAATTCGTGGTTCACATGTACCCACGAAACCCACGAAATTGATATCTAACGAATAATAATGAACCCACAGTAGTCTACATGATAGCGTTGGTTGATAAGGTCTAACGTTTGATTTGTCAGTTTTTATAGATTTCCCATATTTTGAATTAACCGAAGATTTTTGTTTTTTCTATTTTTCTAATGATATCTATAAAAGAAACGGATTTGCATGGGATCACAACAAAACATCATACATTTAGTAGTGGCATATGCTAGTCAAATACACTTACTTTCTGGCAAACCTTCAAATAATGGTATTCCTGCCTGCACTGAGACAACTATAAGACAGAAACAAAACAGCAATTCACTGTAGCCTTTCATAGTTACGACTGAAAATGACAAACCAAACTAACGACAAGTAAATCAGTTCAATTCACTTGCAACGACAGGTGCAACACAAAGCAACCGTTTTTATATTTTAATAAGGATGAATATGTAGATTTGTTAATATTTAATTAATACGATTTACATAATTTCATTTCTCCTGACAAACATGAACTTTTACTTCCAACAACAGCTGTGTTGTACATATGTTTGTATGTAATTTTGTAGAAAACAATTGTTTATAATTGATTATTCAATTGTATTTAGAAAGCTACATGTACTTTTAAAAATTAGAAATTAACAAACAGGTTCTGAATAATACTTTATTTCTAGCCAGAGAATATTTTATCCCAGTATTCAGTAGCTAATACTATATAATATGCTTCAAATTATGTGTGCATCTTTATTGTTAGTAGATGGATTTGTTGGGTTATTTTTTTTGGGGGGAGGGAGGGGGGGTGAAACATATAAGCATGTTCCTGTGAATATTTTTGTTTTTTCTCGTATTAGAAAGAAAAATAGATATATACTTTATTCTCTAAAAACTATAAATAAAAGTTTACAGAAAATCAATCAATATCTAACGTTCCTCAAACAACTTCAACATTGTTTTTTGGGCTATATGGTACATATGTTGCGTTGGTGTTTGGATATTTATGGCGTACTAAATCCTTAGTGTATCAATTCTAATTTTATTAGTTAAGACATGTCTGAAACAATCTTTAGTGTATAGTGTATGAAAGTGTAAAAATCGGCTAAATTTCTATATACCTTGTTATCTAATGTCCATTATGGTGACATATGAATCATATACTACCCTTAGAAAGTACATCACACTGCCATCCTCTCTGAAGCAACGTAAATTGAAAGCAAACTTAGCAGAAATGATGTAAGGTTATCTTCGATTGATTCTTATTTATTATTTGTGCTAATCGTACGAAAAAACATTGCTGCCAATAGAATTCTTTTGTTATCTGAATATCCAGATTCAATATGATTGACTTGAATGATGTTTGGGAAGTCGCAGTCTTATTACGATTAATCAAAAACCGTGGCCAGTAATTTTAGAAAACAGAATGATATGATAAATTTCATACGAATCAATTTCACATCAATGCCGATCCTTCACTGTTTACTACAATTCACAGTTCAAGTTTTAGAATCTCAGCTTTAAACAATATTTTAGAGTATTTTGGAACATTTGAGCAAATTGTCATGCCTAAAAACGACTCAAACGTACCAACTTGGATCAATGGAGTTTAGATTCTAGGTTCTGACGTTGTTTATCACCCTTATTACGTGTTATAGTGTTCTTTTATTTGTCTTTTTAAATTATTAACCTTTACTGTTTAGTCAATTTTTGGTAATATCCCTTTGGCGTGGCTTGGTACTTATACATCCCGCCATTGTCTTATTGTGCTATCAATGGTCATTTTTGTATTCTTGTCTTTCATTTTAGCTTATTTGCTTTGTCTATATGCCATTTTGTTTATCTTTGTTGACATATGTGTTTGTTTTATAGTGATTAAGATTATAACACAATGTTGACTGCTCTACCTCTATTTTTGACATTTTACCTATAATGTCTGTTTGTTTTGTTTACACATTATTGTCAATATAATGGAATTTAATGCGACTGTCATACCAGTGAGAGGTTTAACTAGCTATAAAACCATCATCTTGTTTTATATGGTTTGATCCACCATTTCCTACATAAGGAAATGCCTATTCCAAGGAATATGACAGTTGTTTTCCATTCGTTTGATGTGTTTGAGCATTTGATTTTGCCATTTGATAAGGGACCTTCTGTTTGGAATTTTCCTTGGATTTCAGTATTTTTGTTATTTTACTTTGATGAAAAATGGAATAACTACAAATTTTGGCAAAACCTTGAGTTTTTAATCAAACAAACTGGTCAAAGAGGACAGTAAAATCAAAACCAAACTATCTTTGAAGTTATTATATATATTGTATTTCAGATACAAAATATTTTTATTTTGGGTTATGATGTCCTTCATTCTTTGCAACAGTCATACAAGTACGAGGTTTAGCTAGCTATAAAACCAGGTTTCATCCACCACTTTCTACACAAGGATATGCCTGTACCAAGTCAGGAATATGACAGTTGTTTTCCATTCGTTTGATGTGTTTGAGCTTTAGATTTTGCTATTTGATAAACGATTTTTCCGTTTTGATTTTTCCTAAGAATTCTTTTTTTTATTTTTATTTAAATTTTTTTCGATGCAAATCTTTATACAAACACGCAAAATTGAGCGAATTAAACTTTAACAGCACAATTTCGTAATGAATACCATTTTAATTCTCTGGTTTCCAAATGTAAAATTGTTGATACGTTTTGAAACGGGTTTTAACAAATTTCTAATTTCGACCCCGTGACCAAAACCAATGGCCCGACTCCTTTTCCCCGAAACTACAATACAAACTGAGTTGAAGACTAACATAATTAACGACTGGGAGAGTCTCATTTTGTATTTTGTATTATATTAACGAAACACCGGATTAAAACTAGAGGATAAATTTTACAGATACTTCAAAAGACTTGACACTATAAGCAAGACTCGGTGGCCGAGTGGTCTAAGTAGTCGAAATACTGTATCACTAGTCTGTCAACACTGAGGTTGTGAGTTCAAATCCTTCACGGGACAGGTGCACTCGACTCCAATCTTAATTGACTAGGATAGTCAGTTTTCCTACCGAAGGTGAGTGGATCTCTCCGGGCACTCCGGCTTCCTCCACCAATAAAAACTGACCGCCACGAAATAGCACAATAGTGTTGAAAGTGACGTTAAACACCAATCAATAAATCAATAAATCAAGATACGGTACCAAGAAGTACTTAACTAAAATATATATGCGGATTTTTTTTTTATCTTCCACCTTTGCACAAGATACTAATTTAATAGTTGTTTGAAATATCCAACTGCATGACTGTGTATTAAATGTTTTCCATTTAATGTCAATAAATAATCATTCGCTATCAAAGTTACATGAAAACCATCACAATAATACCGTTTCAAAATTAAATCCCATCATATGAATAAAGGGAGATGTGTGATATATTGAAGTTTTGCCAGGATAAGACCTACATGTATGTCGGATCCGCTAGGAAATTTGCTATCCACTCATAAACATCAATCGATCAAAATACATTTTTATTGACTATCACTAAAATCTGAAATGAGAAAAATTTTCCCAACGAAAAAGGGACGTGGTGTAATATTCAATTATTCAATATGAACTTTTTCACCAGGCTTAGCACCTTCACTTTTATAAGGGACTTTCAGTTTTGAATTTTCCTTGGAGTTCGGTATTTTTGTTATTTTACTTTTTGATCAGATCGTCTTCAAATTCGAAGGTGGGAATATTGCAGATTAATTATATAGTCTAAAAAATAGGGTACACATAGAATTGTAAAATATATCCCAATTTATATGAGGGCATGGGTTATATAACAACTGTAACAACTCATTATAGATACCACCATTTGATCAATTCGTACGGCAGAAGCCTGTTTACTGTACGCTTTTATGTAGACTTGCTCAATGAATTCTTTCTTTTTTAATATAATTCATAATTTCATGGACCATAGCAACTATTAAAAAAACAGTTGACTTGTTCTGACTTGTTCTTCCAAATTAAAGTTATCTTAATCCTTCAAGATTGATATAATGATTACATCGATCTCAATGCAATTGTTTACTTAATTGATATATGCTATGTTTATAACTTTCCATATTAACAAGATCTACATGGGTTTCTAATTTGATCGGCATATATTTTGAATCAAGATTTCAACTACCATCTAGAACTTTAAGGATCTGCTTACCCTTCCGGAGCACCTGAGATCACCCCCAGTTTTTGGCGGGGTTCGTGTTGCTTAGACTTTAGTTTTCTATGTTGTGTCATCTGTACTATTATTTGTCTGTTTGTCTTTTTATTTTTGGCCATGGTGTTGTCAGTTTGTTTTCGATCTATGAGTTTGACTGTCTCTCTGGTATCTTTCGTCCCTCTTTTAAGGATGACAGTTTTTACATGTCGTAAATTCAGGGAACCAATAAATAAAATTACCAATAAATAAATTGTAATCAAAAGAACATAAACGATTATATGGAAAATACTCACGAGAGGTTAACAAAAGTATAAGGTCTTCGTTATAACTTACTATTGTTGTTATTCTAAAATTGCAATAAGTATCCATAAAAACAACACCATAATTCCAATTATGTATTCAAAGTTGTCAATTGTACAAAAACAAAGATCCATTGAATGGTTTATATAAATGTCGTTGAATTAACAATAAGATACTGCTTACGTATCAACGCATTATGTAACATCTTCATTGATTAATGTGAAGTAAAACAAAAACTTATTATCTTTCATTTCATTTCACAAATTATTGACAAACACTATTTTTAGACTTATTTTTTTCTTATTGATAGTAAAACCATGAATAAGATTTGAAACAATCTGTTTGCATTATATTTTAACACATTTTAGGTGAAAGTAAATATTGTGGATACAGTTATATTTGTTAGATACCAATTTTCGTGTATTTCGTGGGTACAGGTTAATCACGAAATTTAATTTTTAACGAATGACAAATTTTCTATAGGCTTGTATGCAGACTTCGTCAAAACTAAGAAATTAGATATCCACGTAAATTTCCCATAATTCACGAAAATTGGTATCCATAAAAATAAATGAATACACAGTATGTACGGAGGTTTATGTTGGTAATATCGAAATGAACTTGAATTCACGAAATCGATTTTTTTCTGGAATTTAACATGACCGTGCAGGTCACGTTCTATAAATTTGGAATTAAAAGACAACTCGTAACTGTCTTTACTTTTTTATATACAACCATAATTAGGAAAATACTATAGTGACATATTCAGCCATATTAAATCATCATGAAACTGTAGTTATATTTGCCGTTCGGTGGCCGTCTCTTCAATATATACCCGAAATCACTTTTTCATTACATTGTTGGATGAGTTTTACATAAAATTATTTAGCATTATTAAAGTATTCGAATACAGCAACACGTTGACATATGTTTACGTGCAATAGTTCTGTAGGTCAGAGAAAAACTTGACTTAAATATTCTTCTATTAAACAAATTTGACAACTTCCCGACTTATCACCGGTTTTGTACTTACTTGTGCAACAAAACGGAGAGCTATGTGTAGCAAGATCTGCCTACACTTCCCAAGCATCTAAATTCACACGGGTTTTTTGGTATGGGTCGTGTTGCTCAGTCTTTAGTTTTCTATGTTGTATGAAGTGTACTTTTGTTTATCTTTTGATCGCTTTTTTGCCATGGCATTGTCAGTTTGTTTTCGATTTATGAGTTTCAATATTCCTTTGGTATCTTTCGCCTCTTTTAGATAAAATCTTGGAGGTTTACGCACTTATATGTTATATTGTAACATTAAACTGCAGATATTTAAGAACGAAACGAGAGACTTCAGTATAACGAAACAACAATTGACAATGGGATGAAAAACATGATCATGCAATGCATGAGAGGTCAGGCTAATGTGGATTATCAAAGGAAACTGTATTACATCTTGTTTGATAGGAACAACATGAAAAAGGCAACAGTTAACAAACATACGACAAATAGCCTTATTGCAAGTTAAAATTCAAATCATATGACACCACTACGAACTATTTATTTTCAAAATGCATATGTATGCAGCATAACATTATGATATCGTTTTATTTGGTTGTGCCATCTTCATGACTATCTTAAAAAAAAATATTTGATACCATTTTTCTTTCGAATTAAAAACAAACGAAAGAATTCTTTATCGAATTTATATATCCTTGAACACAAATATTGATACAAAAACTTGATTCTCTAGACTGCAAAATTGAAGTATCATTCAATATCTCTAGTTGACGATTATCTGACAAGTGGTTGACCTCCATTATTACGTATAAGATGATGACGTCATTGAAAGATATTTTTTCCAACTCTGTTGAGAGGATTGGACTTGATAAAAACACATATTATAGACATTATCGATACAGCAAGATATGTAGTCTTACTTCTAGATTTTGACGGCGACGTTCAATACAGACCTGATATTTGAGACGAACGTGACAACTTCAATGTTTCTGTTATTAATTCTGCATTTTTATGTCTGACTCAAATTACTGGTAAGAATTTCTGCCTGAGCTCGATAGTTCTTTCCGTGCTCTCAGTCTTTCTTCGTCAATAAAAAGTAGTTGCCACGATAAATCCAATAGTGCTTAACGTGGCATTCAACACCAACAATCAATCAAACAATAATCCATCTGTGTGTCGAAATATTCCAGCAACACATACATTTGAAGTATATCTCTCTGTTCTCCATTCATGTGACGCAGTTTATATTTCGTTTGTGGTGCCCTGGTGTGCTGTCGTAAATTCATGGGAGGTGTCCGTTAATATTCTACGGTTCACATGTTGGAATGTATCATTATATAGTCATTTATGCATTTCTTTGTGCTGAGTGTTCTTGCATATGTTTGTATTGTATTCCTGTCACTTTGTGTTGCCATTTCAGTAATTTGTAACATTGCAGTATAAGCGGGAGGTTTGGCTAGCCATAATATCCTGTACTAAGTTAGGAATATGGCAGTTGTTAACAGACAATCTGTGTTTATGTATGTTGGCGTTTGTTTTAGCTGAAGTTCAGTGTTTCTGTTGTTCCGTTGTTTTCCTCTTATAGTTGATGTGTTTCCTTCGGTTTTAGTTTGTTACCCAGATTTGTTTTTGCCTAATCGAATTATGACTATTTAACAGCGGTATACTACTGTTGCCTTTATTTAATACTTTTGAAGATGCAATAGTCTTAGATTGTATGTACTCTTAAAGATATTTGGAATTTTTAGTATCAACATCTGATTCACGCCACCTCTAGAAAGGTAGAATGACAATAACTATATAGCCCGGATTTGATTGCTGACAACATAGATTTTATTGATTTAGAAAGAGGTAAGGACAAACCCATTAACAAACCCCCTGTGAACATATGTGCCCCGTATGTTTGTGCAGAACCGTTTCTACCAGTTGCAAAACTACCAACGTTACTTGTTTTTAAATAACGTTAAAATCCTAAAAATGTTTCAATTGTGCTATGTGATGAACAAGGAAAGATTATTAGACAAATTATAAAAGTATCTATCTGGGAAAAAACCCTCAGAGAAACAGTGAACTTGAAATATTCAATGACCATAATCAAAGCAGACATTCACAAGAATTACGGGTAATTAATCGATAAAACACGAGATCGGTGCATATGTGTGCTTCACAATCACTTGAAAACTAAAGGCAAAGTCATGATAGCCATCATGAAATATTTGCTACCCAAACTTTGAAGTTTCGAACTCCCACCAACACCAGTACAAAAATAGTATATTGTTCGGGAAGAGTCTTAAATTGCTTTTCAATTCCAAGTGTTTACTACTCGTTTAATAAAGATTTGTCAATCTATCTACTTGGTGATAGGTATTAAACGAACTAATTCATTTTATGAAAAATGTTGCATTATTTTATTTTGCTTGAAGTTTGCTGTGATCTCAATTTCTTTCACGATTCTGAAAAAAATAGTGATTAATATCAATGCACTCTTTCAAAAAATAACAAAGTGCACTCTTTACATTTCAACAAATAACAAGTCTTTAAATATCAATGAACTCTTTACATTCCAACAAATAACAAAGCATTTGAATATTAATCAACTTTTTTCATTTCAACAAATAACAAATAATTTGAATATCAATGCACTCTCACATTTCAACAAACAACCAAGTTTGTTAATCCCCTTATATGTATGTGTTACTTTTCAATATGTATATGAAAATTTAACTTCTATGTTGACTTTGTATTGCGTCAAATTCTGAAACTTTAGCACAAACATTCTGCTCGGGAATGCCAAAGAAATTCTCTGTATCTGACGTCACGTAACAAACATCTATTATAACCTACATTCAGTAGTTTCTGCAAAAAAATAAGAACGAATGTCATTGATGAACACCTAATACTTATACCTGTAAAAGTGTAAAATATATGACTACAATGCCTTAAGGTCCAAATGTTGAAATGTTTGTGCAATAAAGTATTGTAGACATATATTTTTCACTTTTACAGTTTACTTATATTTCTTGAATTGTTTTTATTTGCTTCCTTGACGATGGATGTAACATATGCAGCAGGATAGTCTAACATGCCGGAACAACTGAGATCAAATCCAGTTTTTTTTCTTTGTGTGGTTCATGATGTTCAGTCTTTAGTTTTCCATGTTGTGTTCTGTATACTGTTTGTTTTGTTTGTTGTTTTTGTTATTTTCCGGTTTTTGTTCATGGCGTTGCTGCGTTGTAATTGACTTATGAGTTTGAATATCGTTTTGATATCATTCGCCTCTCTTTGTCAATATCAAACTAGTTGATTCTCGTACTGTCATGAACATGTTATCTTGTTTTAGAAATACTGTGTGTTTTACTTGTCATGTGACTGTACAATTCAAAAGCAACCCTGTGTTAGAAGTTATCCAAGACACTTGCAGGGTTTTAGGCCTAAAGGCTTTCTCTCTGGTTATTTTTGTCAGACATTAGAACCGTTAAAGTAACTATGTTATACAATACATACACGTATGTTAGGCACAAGTAGCTTGGCAGTCAGCAATACTGTGGAAATTGTTACCATTTCCCCCACATCCACCGTATATAAATTGTTCACATTGTTCAGTTTGCCAATTGTAATAATATCGTGTTAAGGATGCTTTACACCGTCCAGTGACGGATTTAAGAATACAAACTGCAAACAATGATGTATTGGTGATTAAATAAAAATCAGTCTAAAGGAGTAGTGTCGTCGTCTAAAAATTTATGACATTAAGCAAAAACGGTCAAATAAATTCAAGTCTGAATAAATATATTGAAACAAACCAAATACTTATCCGTAAAATATTAAACGCCTAGCAGTTACATTATTAACAACAAAAAGAAAATAATTATAAGTAATATGTAATTATGTAGATGCTTTCTGTCCGATCAAATAACAGATACTTTTTATGTATTAATAAAAATAAGAAGGAGGGGTGGGGGGGGGTGGGGTCATGTGCATTTTAAACGATCACCTATGAATGTAAATACTAATTCAATGGTTTTTGTGGTAATTTATAATAAACATGGCATTAATCTGATTTTAGTTTACAAACTGCAACGAATTTATATTGTAATGAAAGAAGATAACATTCTTTTTTTGTATTAATTTGATCGTTTGAATGAGACTTAAAGCATAATGTCTCCAACGCACTCGGATAGATCTTGTGCTTGGCACATGCTAGAAACATTTAATTCATGACTAGACCTCTAGATTTCTTTCTGATCATATTGTTTTGATTGACATGTATCCCACATAGTTTTTGTTACAAGCTAGTAAGGGGTTTACATACTTGAACTGAATAATTGCAAATATAACACAAAAGTTAAAAACATTTATTTTCGTTCACTCAAAACTTTGCAGACCTCTGTATAGTTATTTTTCAAATATGAACATCTCTGTATAAAACTTGTATATAGTTTAAATTACCTTTCTCCTCTGCAAAACAAAACAAAAAACAAAAAACGAAAAAACACAGATTTGTTTTTTTATCATTTGTTTGTTTTTGTCATACCTAACCAATAGTTACTTAATTACATTTAATATCGTTTAAGAAATACAATTATCTTTTTTCTAAATAGACCGGTTTACGGACTTATAATTGCACGAACTAATATGTAAGAAATATGTTTTGTTGGTGCACTGTAGTAAAAAACGTGCTCTAATATAAAACTTATTGAAATAAAAACATAGCGATATGAAACAGAACATACCATTTTTCTTAATTGTAGTCCCAGCTACACCTGACTGAGCACCGTGAACACCAGTCTGAACAAGGATACTAAACATAAAGAAGTAAAGTATAAGTAATGTAATATGGCTTTGCATGATTGAAATGAAATATCGTTTGCAACTGTAAATGTTTGCTAACACAACAGCTGCGATATAAAACGTGTTGTAATCTGAAAGAGGAAGGTATGTAATGTACACTTAAGATTGATTCATTTTCGACGAATAATATCTAATCATTCGTCTTAACAAGAAAATATATGTTTTACTTACATCTTTTAATAAAATACATGCTTGTCATTGGTAGGTCTGTTTTTGAATAAAAGAAAACGATATTACAATTGCAAATGTACATATAACATTCAAAGGAAAGATGATACAAGTCCCTAACAGGGCATTAGCTACGAGATATAGAAAACAATTAAAATATAATTTTTGTTTTGATCAATCATTAATGAAAGTGAAATAGTGAATGATAATCAGCTTTTAGCAGGCAATTAGGTTCAAGCTAAGAAACATTGTTGATGAATTATTCACTTGCAAGTGAATAATTCGACCTCATGTAATCCGTATTCATCTGACCTTAAATTTAACCCCTTAGCTGGAGATTTATTACGCCCGTATTCAGCTATTAAAATAGACAGAACATCAACATTGAAAGTGAAACAAGGATGAACCTTTTGGTTGACTGTTTCGATCCACACAAAATCATTCTCATACAGGTAAAAACTATGATAAACATTTTTACTTACAATATGAAATTAAACAGACCAAGAAAAATCCAATTGCACGTGCTCGCTACGTATTTATATATATATATATTTATGTATATATCGGGTTATTTGACCGTCGGCAGTCTTCGGGAGTCATCTTGATGGTTAATAATATGATGTCTAGAAAAAACTTCACACGAAATGCTGATAATTATTATTGAATACATTTATTATTAATTATTTATTTTAGACTTTTTGTGATTTGGATATACGTTTTAGTATGTTACAAATAAATTATGAGAATTTGATTCTAATGGGTGAACATGAATTTGACAGAAAATGTCCCTTTAAGTTCTATTAAGAAATCATCTAATTGACCATATTTCGGAAATTAGGTCATTAGTTTCCTCTGTGACGGGTTTTGTTCATTATTGGAGGCCATATGGTGGCCTGTAGTTGTATACATCCTTGTCCTTGTTGTTCAGTAACTGTCTCATTGGCCATAATACCGCCTTATTTTGGTCGCACTTGAAGTTTACTGGCGACGTGTTAGCAAAGACAGTAAACGGGTATTTGCGACCATCAAATCACCAATTGATGCCGTTGGAGCTTAAAATACAATATTGTTATATCTATTCTAATGAAAATGACTGAAAACAACGTCATATCATACATTAAAAAATCTATCATACGTCGTCTGCGCTTCGCGTACGATTCCATAGCATAAAAATTGAAGACGTTAATTAATCAAAATGAACATTACAATCGATGTTGCATTAGAATGGTACTCTGTTCAAAGACTTGCCTTATATCAACGCAGAAAGGATTGAATGAGCAGTTCTAAGTATATCTTTGCTTTATAGAAGTGAAAAGTACTGCAGACGGCGAAAAAGGGGAATGTGTCAAAGTTATGAAAACAAAATGTCAATTAGGAAAAGGTAAGTCACTCATTCCTATACACTTATATGACGTATTGAGCAGAACTTTGCCAAAAAATCGACATGAAGTTAAAGAATATCTGCAGGAAGAGGGTTCTGTTCAGCATCGATGTATTTTACAAACACTTCAAGACAACAAAGAAACATGGTCGAAGCTAGTAGTAGCTATTACGTTGCATTGTCTTCTAAAAGTTTGGCCATGTCTAAGTCAGAGACCACATAACAGGTGCCTACCGGCCTTCAACTATGAGTAAATCCCATACTGTGTAGTAAGCTATAACAGGCATAGAATATCAAAACGTGAAACAATTCAAACGAGAAAAACCAATGGTCTTATTTGTGATAAAACAATCAACGAAAAAATAGGACTGACAGCAACCTACGACAGCAACTGAAATACAGGATTCTGATTTAGTACAGACACATTAAGAATGTTGGAGGATTAAATATGTAAATAAATGAATTATTAATCTTCGATCACTGATGATAAAACCAAGATTTCGGATTATTAAACCTAGATAATGGACTGGTGAATCAAGATCACGGATGGGAAACCGATTTAAAAAAATTATGATTTCAGCATTATGTTAATAAACCATTGTTCCTAGTCTTGCGCCGACATAATAGAGGCTTAACAGTTCTTGCTTGACAGTATTTTTGTTTGTAATGGCAAGATTTTATATCGTCAAAATTCCGGAATTATATGGGTACTAATTTGCACCTCTAGTTGCAGGCTTACTTCCTTATCACTGTGTCATGGAAGACCTTCAGAAAGTTCAAATATAAATATAAATATTAACATTATTTACAATAATTTTATGTTTTTTGGTGATTGACTTACTTTAGGTGTGTACGTTCTTGATTTACAAATATCCTGGCAAGTTCTTTGTGCTTTCAATATTTATAATAGATATAAGAATATGTGGTTCGAGTGCCAATGAGACAACTCTCCATCCAAGTCACAGTTTGTAAAAGTAAACCATTATAGGTCAAAGTACGGCCTTCAACACGGAGCCTTGGCTCACACCGTAATCATTCGCACAATTCAGTATGATGTTGATATGTTAATCATGTTAATGTAAATAAAAACTACTTAATAGTCTAACATGGACTGAACAATTATTAATTGACTGCAGGGGAATTGTCTGAATTGTAATAAATCAGCCGAAGTGTTTTAGACTGAAATTTAACTGACAGACTTAAAATGACTTAATAATTTATTGTTCTGTGACATAGTTAAGGTACCTTGAAACAAGCTTAACGTTACATGTACGTTCTTAAAATATATGGAAGAACTATACATGGTCTCGATATTTAAATGTATTTGTACATTGCTAAAAACTTTTATAATTGTCCCAATATTTCCATCTGATACCAATGCAGTTATGTATTGAAATTACAATTTTATACAATTACTCGCTTGTGCTGAGGAGTTGTTCAGTCCATGTTAGACTGTTAAATAGTTTTTATTTACATTAACATGATTAACATATCAGCATCATACTGAATTGTGCGAATAATTACTGAACAGTCTAGAAAAAGAAAAGCACAGAAAGCCTTTGCTATCCTTCAACAAGTCTGGAGGAGCAAAGCACTAAGAACATACACTCAAATCAGGATCTTCAACTCAAATGTAAAATCTTTACTTCCCTTTGGGTCAGAAACTTTGATACTAACAGCTGTGTCTACCAAAACATTACAAGTTCTCGTGAACATTTGAATTAAGTGGCTAAACAGCATTATTAACAAAGAATTATGAAAAAGGACAAGACAAGAACCAATATAAAGTTCGAATACAACACGTAGATAGAAATGGATTGGACACACGTTACGTAAAAACAGCACAAACGTAACTAGACAGGCGTTAGATTGGAATCCTCAGAGCCATCGTAAAAGAGGGCGACCAACATCCACCTGGTGCAGAGATCTTACTTCTGAGTTACAGAAAATTGGGAAAACATGGAGAAAAACTAAGAAATAGCCATCGACAGGATAAGATGGAAAACAACTGTGGTCGCCCAATATCCCCCATGGGTCGACGACGTTGAATAACAAAGGCAACAGTAGTATACCGTTTTTCAATAGTCATAATTCGATTAAGCAAAAACAAATCCGGGTAACAAACTAAAACCGAGGGAAACACATCAACTATAAGAGGAAAACAACGGAACAACAGAAACACTGAACTACAACAAAAGCAAACACCAACATACATAGAAACGGAATGTAGATAACAACTGCCGTATTCCTGAATTAGTACAGGACATTTTAAGAAACAATGGTGGGTTAAACCTGGTTTTATGGTTAGCCAAACCTCCCGTTTATATGGCAATGTTAAAAATACCGCTAAAATGACAACACTACAGTACAAACAAACGTAAGAACACTCAGCACAGAGAAATACATAAATGAATAATATGATAGTATATTATAACATGTAAACCACAGAATAACAACGGACACTGCCTATGAATTCACGACAGCACACAAGGACACCACAAACGAAACATAAACTGCGCGTCACATGAATAGATCAACATCATAAAAAGTGACGATTTTTTTGTGACGTTTATATTATCACAGGTAAATTTCTAAAAAATAAAATAAGGCAAGATAATGTAAGACCAAACAGTAAACACACATGAAAACAAACAACATAAAACAAAAACCCTGTAGACGAAGCACGAGTAACTTGACTATACTGACAAATGAGACATATGTGATATGTACCAAAAATACAGAATTAAAACCACAGACGAAATAAACAGATACCAACTCAGCACAAAATGACCCCCAGACCCACACGTTTAAGAAAGTAACGACGAAATGCCCGAAAGTGGGATTTATAAATACCGAAACATGTGGTCTCCAACTGCAAACATAAGACAAAACAAAATATCCAAACGGACTTACAAAAGAAACATCATAACTAAATACTAGTTCATGAATGTTTGATATATAAATACCGAGACACGTCGTATATAGTAACACGAAATCACGCTATGTAAGCACCATACGACAGAGTAGAGGGTATGTTACTGCTGATAAATGGGAAATTTATAATCGGGAAGTTGGAATCATCCCGTTTGTCATAAATCTTAGTCTGAAGTCGTTCATCTGTGTTAATATTGAGGAAAAGATCAAGGTATTAAGCAGTCCTTCTAGTATAAGTAGTATCCTTAATTTTAAGTTCACTGGGATACATGAGATGCAATTACTGACTGAAATATGGGTTTATTAAGTCAGATCAAAATTGATTTACTAGTAATAGTGTCCGTCTTTCATTCGACTTAATCACCTATTTATTTTATTTTATTTCTTACTTTGTTCTGTCTTCAATTTGAATTAACAATAGGCATTAAAAATCAGACATTCAGCAATGTTAATAAATGCATGGCATTTCTTGGAC